GAATGAAAATGCTGACGTCATAGTTCAGCTCCCAGCAGAGCTCAGGGGAGTCTGTGAAGAAACAGTGTACCTTTTGGGATGTTAAATCACCAGTCATTTAGGAAAGGAGATAAAATAGAAAAAGTCCTTGCTCAGGACAGGGAGGGTGAAAAACAAGAGAGAGAAAGAGAAAAAGCTGTATTAACCTTTTCCCTAGACCAAAAATCAAAAATGCACGATGTGTATGCCACAAACAAGCATAACCTCTAAACCTTGGAACTGCTTCGTGATCTTCTTAAAAGTAGTATTTTGTAAAAATATGGTTAGCATGTCTCTAAATAAGTAGAATACAGTCCCATCCCCACCTTAAATCTTCCTCCATCACATTCAGAAAAAGAGCACATGATAACAGTTTTAGTTCTTCACTCAAAATTACCTGGCAATGCCACACACCTAATTTTAAGCAATTCTGAATATAATGGGGTGGGACTCAATGACCTCAGGCAAGCTACTCGAATTTTTATGGGCAGGGAAAAAAAACGTTTTTATCTAATGATGTAATATAAACTAATAAAAAAAGAGATTATAAAAATTTGATTTACTTAGAACTATTAAAAGCGGCTAGTGGTGTGGATTGTTCACATTTTTCATCTCTTGGCAGGGCTGAAAATACAACCAGTAATACAAACTTCTGTAAAGTTTAGACATGATTTCCTAATATCCTTTTACTAAGGACACTTAAGTCACTGATTCCTAGATGCCTAACACTTCCCAGGAATCTTAGAAAATAAGCGAGCCCCAGATCCTTGGTAACCTCTCCAAAGCACAACACTACAAGGACATCCTCTCTTCCTTACCATTCATATGGCTTAAAATAGCCATTCACCCAAAATGGGATTTTTTACTTTAAATTTAAGCAATAAACAATTTTGCCAATAAACATTTTAAAAAGAAGATCTTATTAAGTTAAAATGCAAACATACCGGTTTTATCTGTAAATCTAAAATGTTAAAAGAGATCATCTCACATTTCCACCACAAATATCTTTGATAGAACATCACTACCCCCTTGTGGATTTGCAATAAAAAATCCTTATCTTTTATATTCACTTTTTAAATATTTCATTCTGAACTTCCATTAAAGTTTACATTTTCTTCACTAAGAAGGGTTATTTTATTCCAATTACTTTTTTAAAAAGAGAAAAAACACCTAACATTTTAAAATAATCAATCCCATCAGCTTCTTTATCTTCTAAGCATCTCCACGTTAGGGAATGTTCTTCAGACAATAGCTGTGTGTGCCAATTTCAACATGGTACCCACGCCAATATTCCATTTTTCCTTAGAATAACTGAATTTACACTTCCAATCATCACTTTAGATTATCTTCAATGATAAATGGGTAATTTCTTCACTAGTGCATCATTTTTCCATTTGGTAATTTCACACTTTATACCAATTTCTTTTTATCGCTTCCAAATGGTTTGATATCCAAGTACCCCAGAAAACCAATGGGGCACGTACATCCTCAGAAATAACTTTTCAGACAAGGATTAAAACACAAATCTAAGTTTCAAAAAGATTAATTCTTGATTGTATTACTGTACTTTTAGAAACGGCACTCTAAATCAACCCCAATGAAGGAAAAAGGGAAAAAAAAAAAAGGTAACACCTGTTTTTCAAAACTAGAAAGAAGGGCCTTGTGTTTCTCTGTGTTTTTAGTTGCAGAAGTACCTCCAGTTTTATCTGCGGATCATTCTAATAAAACACACAGATACATCTTGTTAAACGCATACTTAAAAAAAGATTAAATAAACTTAAACATCTGGTTTATCACATGTTACAGACAGACACCAGACTTCACTTAAAGTATAAATCATCTCCGCAATAATGTATCGGCTACAGACAGCAAGTCTGAGTCCTGACTAGTCCCAGTGCCATTACTGGGAGTTAGCTCCCCATTTGCTCACAGATGTGGAACACGAAAGTAGGAACACAGTAACTTACTATTATTACGAGAAGTAAACCCCAGTTTTCATTCCAATGGTAAGGTGAAGATAAGGGAGGAAAAACAATCCACTTTGCAAGTGTTAATTTTTAAGTAACTAAAAACACAATCTTACCTCCTGCAACGTATAAGAAAAAACAAAACACACAATGTGTGGTCTGCCGTTAGATGAGTGAATGTGAATGCTACGTGTTCTAAAGGCCTTCACAGGGCCGCCCCACTGAACGCTGAATGCATCAGAAGTACCCGTTAAGCAACACATCCAAAGCCAGCGGCTCAACTGTACAGCAGGGGCAGTCAGAGCTGGCCTTCACGGTTCGATTTTTGGGGATTTTGTTATGTTGTTTGGGGATCTTTTTTTTTTTTTTTTGAGAGAAGGTAGCAGGAAGATATTTCAGATGACACTAGAAGTAAAATTAGTGGTGAGAGTAATGTCACTTAATTAGTCTCCAAGCAGTAACATGTTTAAAACCATTAAGAACTCAGATCCAAACATTTCTTTCAAGGCATGTCACTTTGTACACTTGGAACTACAGGACCACACTGCAGAGAGCAGACTGAGGAACAGCCCCAGACCAGCAAATCTCCTTGCAGTCACTTTCTGGGAAGTCTCAGGCAGGGCTATGTTACATGACTTGAAAGGCCTGGCTAAATCTGAAAAAAAATAAAATAAAATGTGACTGCACTTTTTCCAAATGAGTAAAGGACTCGTGTGTATAAGAGAACATGCAACTCTATCAAGAATGAGCAAAATACTGGGGTAAATGTAGAACCATTTTAAAAATTCCTCTGGCCATTCCATCTTATGACATGTCCATCAGTCGAAAGTAAATAAACAATCCTCTAAAAAAAAAGAGAGAGAGAGAGAGGAAAGGGAAGTAATATGGCTGACACCTGGCTTCTCCTTGCAATGGGGTACACAATATCTCTTTTTTAGTCCAGGGTAATGAGCTAAAAAATGCTCAGGAAGCATTACCAATCTTTACACAAGGAGGCCCATGACCTTCTACAAGCAATGGTTCTCAAAGCAGAAAGATGCAATACAACCTTAGAAATACACAGCCAGCATACTGATGGGGGGGGGGGGGACCTTTTACTTTGTCCCTCCATATAAAAAACCAGGGACTGCTGTCTATTGTCAATATATACAGAGAAACACTGTCCTTACCAACAGATGACAAATATCTTTGGATGGAAGACCATCACATTTGACAGAATGGCAACACATCTTAATGGCAGGACTGATGGGCACTACATCCAAGGATGGTGCAAAATACAGGGACTGGATAATGTCTGGTCAACCTCTATCCTGAACCTGATCGGACGTGCAAAACAAAACAAAACAAAAAAAGGAGGAAGAACAAGAGAGAAAGACAGATTACACAGTATAACATGGAAAAGAGAATGAATGACCATGCAACCCTATTCATGTTATGTGGACAAAGAAGTAGAGCACAAGAACACTTCCTACTCTCACCCTCAAACACACCAAAGACTATAGCTAGTATGACAGTAACATTAGAAGACCACCACCTCCCGTGAATGAAGGTCCCAAATGAAGTAATATACTTGTTGGCTCTGCCCAAAGAAATTTATGATTATCAAGCCAAAGAGACAGAAAGAAGCTGGCTAAATGCAGCAAAAACAAATTTCCAAAATCCTACATGAGGAGTCCCAGATGCCAGAAGGACACAGTGTTTCATCCTGGGATGCTATCCACTTACAAATACTACTGTCACCCCTGGCCTTGCGGCTTAAACCCCATTTCATCCCTCTATCCTTAGGGAGACAGAAGTCACACTGCCTCTTACTACAGGACGAAAGGAATGGTGGGCACCCCCTTTAGTAAAGACAGAAAGTCTACAAATACAGTAGATCTGCAAATACTTTTTTATAATAATGACAAGGGCAATAAGGAAACTTCTTCATATGGGAAAGAAAGGGAGGTAGGACTCAGGTCATCTAGAACACCAAAAACAGGAAGAGTAAGTGATTCTAGAAGATACAGAACATTTTAGAAAATGATCTGTTATAATGGAAACACACATCACCTGTCACCACAAAAAATCTTCAGTCACATATTCACATGAATAAAGGACACTGCCAAACCACATACTGTAACAACCCTAAACAAGAGTTCTTAAGCGTGAAATACTAGAAGAAATGGTTTCTACAGACATTGTGGAGGGGAAATCTGATTTAATACAGAATGAAAAGAAGTACATTTCAGGTTAATTTTTTATTACAATAGTCATCATTCTGTATACCAAAACTACACCCAAAAATAATCAGAGGCTATTTACTCCCCACCCCCAAAAAAAGACAAGACACAAATAAAAGTACTATTAAAGAAAGTGTAAAGTATTAGAAATCACATAATAAACAAAAGCAGTAATAATTTATACCAGATATCTAGTCTAAGAATGGTCACCACAATTAGGCATAAATTTAGATATAACACTTCTTGGCAGTAAAAATGTAACGGCATCTCATACAGTTCTTACTACCTGAGGATATGAAACATACCAGTTCATCGTAAGAGAAAATTATTTTTCTACCCCTCCTTCTATAAAGGATGCATTTGATTTTATGTTCTACACAATACCTAGTATGTTCTATACAATACCTGGTACGTTGCTGTTCAGATGTTAAACAAGCATTCCAACCAACCACGTATCTAAGTGACCTAAAAGTTAAGCCTAGCCATTTAAAAAGAAGATTGACCTTACTTTTTTCTACATACACCCTACACACAGTCTGAGGGAAAGCTGTTAAATGCCTCTCACACTGCCTTCCACCCTCTCCAACACCCTCAATCCTGCAGGGAGGGGGTAAGAGTTCAGTGGAATAGTACACCCTTCGAGTATATTTTTGTAAGATTACAATCTAAACAATTAAAATTCAGAAAGGAATTCCTTAAAATAATAGATAAAAAGACAAGCACAAGATACATCGGGATGTCATTCATACTAAGAGATCTCTAGCAGTCACGTAACCACCACAGAACCACGCACATAGTAGAAGCTCAGTGAATGTCTCCAGAATGAATGCGCCCAGTGATGGAATATGGATGCCAAAACAGCTTCTCTCCAAAAGGACAAATTCAAAGGTTCCACCAAGGAGGCAACAGACACAACTATGAGGAGAAAGAAAGAGAACATGAGAATCACCTCCTATTGCTTTTTCCATAAGGAAAATGGGAAGAAGTACAACTGCGCACGACAAGGTATTTCCCTGAACCTGGGGAAGTGGGAAATGCCCACAGCAATGAAGGAGTGGTTAAAAAAAAAAAGTTAAACCACAAGATGGGCTACCGCAAAAGCAGTCAGGAAAATTATAATCCCACCAGGCATATGGGCTACGTCCAGCATAAACAGAGAACTAAAATAATGCCACCTGACACTAAAGAACAGGCTACTTTAGAGGCAAAGCCTAAACACTAAAGAAATGGAAAAACACGGGTAAGCAGGATGTATAAATATGTCTCAAAGAACAAGCAAGAGCAATCCTACTCTTTTGGAAAGGAAAATCCAAACCAATCTGACCTTGAGTAGAGGTTGCTATGTACACATCAACACTCGGAATCCACTGAATGATGAGATAGAGAAACCCAACATTTAACAGCAGGGTAAGTCAAGTCTTCAAGAAGACAAGGGAAGAAATATCCCATGAGTCACCCAACCTTGTCCAAAAAGCTGGAGGTAAGGCCTGAGGGGGAGGAGAGAGTGACATTCTAACAAAAAGATGTAAGAAAGAAAAGTCCTTAAGAGAACCCATCTTGCAGGCCGAACGTCCAGAGAACCGTGCACTGAAAGAGTAAGAGGGAAAAGCTAATTTCCAATAATCAATGGGGTGAGGGACACAGAAAGCACAACCACATTAAACTCGAAGAAAAGAGCCCAACTTTACACACTAACCTCAAGTGTATTCCTCTAACCCTTACCATTTTCCTTCCATTGCCCATTGTACAGAGCACCCCGATTAGCAGAGGAGACCCGGAAAGGCAGGCGGTGGTAGGCAGAAGGACAGGAAAGGATCCACCACTGGAAGTGAGATGAGAACGCTCACTCTCCTGCGAACACCCCAACATCTACAGCAGGTACTCAACTCTCCTTTTCCAAAGGTCATTAATACCACACCCTAAAACCACACAATTCCATCATGCTGGGTATAGATAGAGACAGAATAACAGCAGTATAAAAACTTTAAAAAAAAAAAAAAAGGAAGTTGAGGTTAAAAGTGCTACTTTGGGGCAGTGGGTTTTATGCCCCCGGATAACTCCTTATTACCTGAAGGGCAAGGTCTCGAAGTCAAAGCCTAATGCTGACCAATTCTCCAGACCCCCCTGCCTCCCTTACTCGGTACTCCAGGTGAAGAGAGACTCCTTGCTCAAAAAATGCTTAATGGTCCAAATGCTCAGAGTCTGACAAAGCTTGTTGGGGAGGACGAGGCGCCACACTAAGCCGGTTGAAAAGTAAGACTCTGCTGAGCGTCTGCAGCCAGAGGCCACTCCAAGCTCGGGGAGGGGAGGGAGTGCAGGCCCAGAGGAGGCCCCATCATGGCCCTGCCCCAGGGCGGAATCTGCAAACTGTGATACTCAGGACAAACCTGGACAACAGTCCCTCCGACCCTTTGATGAGTGTCACATCCCAAAGGTACCTTTTCCTAATGTGTACAACCTCTCTCAATTATTTAAATGGCCAAAATAAAACAGCGACATATTTATGGCTGTTCATTCCTAGTTCTGTCACAGAAACACATATTCTCACCCCCTCCTATTGATGCCCCAAATACATGAAACCTCTTTCCCATACCCAGCAGTAAAGAGATCAAGATGAGAACTTTTCACCCCACGAAGAATCAAGCAGAGAATACTGCCCCTGAATTCAGAAGGCCTAAGTTTTGGTGTGCATCGGCAAGACTCTACACTTCACATATTCCGGGACTTGGTGAACATTCAGGATGTCATTCTGCTTATTCAGTACAGAACAAATGACAAATGAAAGAGCGGTAAGAATTGGCCATTTATCAATGAGTTTTCTAATTCTTCTAAGCCTGAAAAGTTACCAACGACAGTAATATATATCCATACGTGTACACATCAAGGTCCTCACGTACACGCAGAATGCAGAGCTAGCCACATAACCCTTCCAATTTACAGTGTATATGTGACAGATGTGACTTTGTCTTTTAATGCATACCTACGTGTGTATATATACAAACAAATCCATGGCATCATGTTTTTCGCCAAAAGAGAACAAAAGCAACAAAAAAATAGAAAACATCCAAATTTCCCCTTCACCTGAAAGCTACAAGACCAAAAAAAAAAGTTCAGATCCCATGAGAGACAACACGAGGCCAAAGGAAGGTTCTAGTACAACAAGAAGCACATTAGCAACCCCTTCCCGAATGGCACGTGGGCGACATGAGTGTCTACACTCCCTTTTCTAGATGGAAAGGCATATGGCTTCTTCTTACCCAGCCAACATGAATACAATTTAAGAAAATCAGAAAAAGTCAAGGTAACAGGCTCACTAAATATGGCTGACTGGGAAACAGAAGCCATAAGGAGGATATGGGTTCTCTTAAAAAAGAAATGGGAAGTTTATTTCCAGGGAAGGTTCAAAAACTCTTCAATGTAGGATGTACAAAGTCAGGTTCTTACTGCACAGAAGACAGTGATGGGAACACCAAAAAACAAGGGCACAAGACCATGTTCCTGGTGGGGTGGTGTCAACTGGTGAATGCTGCCCCTACCTCAGAGGCAAGAGTGAAATGGAAGCACAAACAGATCCTTGTTTTCCTCAGACACAGAGGAGTAATCACCGTAGCCCCCTCTTATTCAAGTACTAGGCACAATGGAAGCCCTGCCCTACATCTGATCAGGGGGCCCCCACCCTCACCCAGACAAGAAACTCTGAGGAGAGAGAACATGTTAGGGGGAGATAGCCAAATGGGGAAAGGAGCACTGGAATGTCCAGTTTCTCCCCTAAGAAAAAGAAGGCAACTCAAAGGGTATTCAGGAAATGAGCTCACCCTAACCCAGGAAAGTGTGCAGAGAGTGTGCATAATCTGTAAGAAGTATCTGCTTTCCTATTTAGAAATGACTTCAGAGCTGCACAGGCCCCCACTACCCTCTGGGTGAAGGAAGAAGAACATGGGGGAGCCCGAGTCCCCTTGTCCTGGCTAAAGGGTCAATAGATGGTGTGCAGAGGCCCCAAAAGATTCCACAGAAGATGAGAGGTTGAGACAGACCCCTCTGCCAAAGAAGGATCAGGGTCACAGAAGGTAAAGGGCAAGGGAGTATGGAGATCCTCACTTGCCATAGAAACGGAGACCCCACCCTCCTGGCTGCGAGGGGTGCAAGGGCAGGAGTAGATGGGAACGACTGCTAGGGGCGGGGATGCTGCGCAGGCCCCCTTCCCAGGAAGGGAAGGGGGAGGGGTCACACGAGGCCCTTCTGCCCGGGGACGCTCAGCAGGAGGGGGTCCCCCTGGTGGGGAGAAGCACGGGGACCCCCGCCGGCTCTGGGAGGCGCCCACGGGGCTCCAGGGTGATGCTGGACGGAGTCCGCCTGGCCCTGCCGCCCGAGAGCCACCAGCGGCGGGGCTTGAGCGCCGACCGTACCCCCGACGGGGACCGGCCCGGGGCAGCGGGGCGCGGGGCCGGAGGGGGCCTGAGGCGGATAAACTTTCCGCCCCGCGGCCCCCACCGGGCCCG